GCTCAGCCCTTGGGTTTCGTAATTGAATTGAGTCTGGGATATGAATGAAGAGAAGTGGCGCTTGAAGCCTTAGGACTGGCGCCCCACTGCCTTCCCCACGGCAGAAGTCCCCAAGCTGCAGATTCGCCCCAGTGCGCCCTGCTGCTTTGCATGTGACCACGTCCTAGCTGCTGCCTCGGCTACAGAAATCCTGTGTTCGCTTTCATCAATGGCCTTTGAGGTGGCAGAAGCCTTTGAATGAGATCCTTCTGTCCTTCCAACAGCTCTGGAAACGCCAAAGCAGAATAACCCGCCTCTCTGCCAGTCCCCGGCCCGGCTCTTTGAAGGACGGTTTTGTCCCCGCCGAGAGCCGCTGTGAAGGGTCATGATAACAGTACAAGGAGACTTAGGTCTGATTCATCGCGGGGTTGGTTTTTAAAATAGAAACTGTTTTATAGTCGCCTTTAGTATTTAACCCTCGTGGCTAAGTTATTAGCTGGAGAAAGAAACACTCACCACCTTGAATTTAACCAGCACTTGTATTTGAAAGAGCTTTTGTTCATTCAAATGTTCAGTCTTTCATTCAGCCAATAAAGATTTATTGGCAGCCAGGGCCAGGGTTTGGGGACTGGAGTTACAGCAGGGATCAAGATGGACAGGGTTCCTCCAGCCGCGTGTCCAGGGTCAGAGGTGGACAGTAATTAAGTGGTACGCGAGATAGTAAATGTCCCGGGTAAAGTCAACAGGGGATGCGCTCCTCCTGGGGGTGGGTGAGGCAGACCCTCCAGGAAGGGGTGTTTCAGCCCAGAGCTGGGAGGTGGGGAGGCACAGCGTGGCCTGGAGGCGGGACCTGGCTGGCCTTGTTGGAGGGACAGAGGGAGGCACATGTGGCTGGAACACAGCACGATGCTTTCGACAAGCTGCATGTGTGCTTACCTTCCGGAAGACGGGGTTTTCTTATTCCCGCTTCCCAGATGGGGAAGTGGTGGTCTGGGAAGGGGAAGTTTCTAAAGCAGAGGCTCCCCACTGTGTCGGGTGGATGGGGATGCAGTCTGAGGGCTGGGGAGCTGCGGCTGCACTGTGGAACTGGGCGAGAAGACCTGTATTTGTCCTCAGGCGTGGGCCTCCCCGAGTCCATGTTCCCCCGTGGTGAATATCGCCCATGGACTAGAAGATGTCATGTCTCCCTGAGAACAGTCACTCGGCTCAGCCCCTTGCCGAGCGCTGTGTTCCCAGAACAGTGTTGCTGTGCGATGGGCTGAGGAGCCGGGAAATGCTCATGCTCCATCCTCAGTGACTATCCCTTCCCCGCTGCCCCCCTGACCGTGTGGCTCTTCCCAAACTTCCTGGGGCCCTGTGCCATGCCCTGCGTGAAGCCCCACAGCTGATGGGGCAGGGACTGGGTTGCTGTGAGCAGCCCTTGACCGGAGCCTCCTATGTGGCCCTCTGGCTTTGCTGACCGTGTCCATGGCCGAGTCCACCTCAGGACCCAGTCTCTTGGGGAATCATGCCTGTGGCTGCAGTTGCAGCTGCCTCCCAGTCTCCTGTCTCCTGGGTCAGCGCCTGCTAAAATGCTCCCTGGTGTGTGTCCCTGCGAGTGGCCTGTCCAGGGACGAATGCCATTGTGGCTCTGTCCAGCCTGGTCCTGGGATTGTCTCCACAGGATTTTTGTTAGACAAACAAGGATGGGATTGTTCCTGGAAGCAGGGGAGGTGTGGCCCAGTGGGGCCCTCCTGAGAGGCCTCCCAGGATGTCCCCGCCCTGGCCACAGGACAGAGCCACTCCTGGAGGGAGCTGAGGTGAAGCCCAGGCCAGGTCCTGGGGAGCCAGTTCCTGTGGTGGGACAGAGAGGCTCTCTGCTCCCTCTGCCCCTCCCCCCAGAGAGGTGGCCCAGGAGGCTACTGGGTAGAGTGAGGTGCAGACTGGGCACTGGGTGGGTTGTGTGGGGGCTGAGAGGACAGTCACCAAGGGCAGGTGGCCTGTGTGGGGGCTGAGAGGACAGTCACCAGGGGCAGGTGGCCTGTGCTGCAGCTTCCTCGTCACAGTCTACGGGGGAGGATGTGTGGGGCTCAGTCAATATGTGTAAAGTGCTTAGAACAGCGCCAGGCAGGGCAGAAGCACTTGGTCAACATTTCGTCATTGCGACCTTGGGCAAGTGGTTAACTTCCTGAAGCCTTGCCCGCCTGCTCCCAAGGTTGCTCAGATTGAGGGAGATCACAGCTGCGAAGTGCCCAGCAGTGTGCCTGGCACATGGCTGAGCTGGATAAGTCACTTTCTTGTTAGGTGATCGAGACCTGTGGCGTGAGATACACCTTTCCATGCTGTGAGGAGCTGGCCATTCTGACTGTGTCTCTGGTGCAACCTCGTGCCTCCCCACCTCTGGCTCTGGAGGGTCAGGCCCCCCCTCACCACTGGGCACTGGGTGGAGTGAGGTGCAGACTGCAGAGGCTCCTGGGTGTGGGCTTGTTGGATTTTTCCAGCACAGGACCATGGGGATGAATGCCCAGGACTGTTAGCCCTCCCTCCTGGTCCAGGAGGCACACCTCTGCCCATCCTCTCTGTCCTTGCAGACCCTCCAGCTCGCTCCCTCCCCAAAGCCCCCCGGCCCGCCAGTACTGCTGTGTTCCTGCTTCCCTGCCTGTGCTCAGGAGTGGGGAGAGCCATTCCCTGACCCCCTTTCCCCACCACTCAAAGCTGCTCCCTTTCTCCCCTGGGGCTCAGAGAAGCTGACAGATCCCCAAGACGGTGGCCACCTGTCCTCCCTCCACCCAGGGCCCTGCTCTCCAGCACTGGGTTTTCCCTCCCGACCTGAGGGCCCCAACCACCCATCCCACTCAGCCTGTGTCTCCCTGGAAGACAGTTCTCTCCGCTGCAGGGATCCCCTGACGACCGGGAGGGACTGCGCCTGCAGGTCAGCACTGCTGAGGGGCTCTGGCAGGGGCTGCAGGGGGCCGAGGGAAGAAGGGTTCTTCAGGCACGCAGGTGCGAGAGGACCCCCACAGTGGTCCCGGGCTCCCCCTCACCCTTCAGTTTTCCCACAGTCACCCTTTGGCTGGCATGAGGGTGCTACGCTGTGGAGACAGAACCAAGTAATAGGGCTGCCTCCACCGAGACTGTCAGCCCCGAAGCTGAGCTGGGTCCTAATCGCCCCGCACAGAGTCCAGCCTGAAGGAGGGCCGGCTGCACGTCCCCTCTCTGCGCCCGTCAGGGGAAAGTCCAACAGGACCCGCTGAGGAGGCCCGGGCGTCCCGGGGTCTGATGTCCCCTTCTGGGACGGGGCTTGGCTGCTGCTGCTGTAGGAACATCGAGGCCCTGTGAGGTGTCCACAGACTCCCTCTGTGTGAGCACTGAGCCTCCTTGTGAGCGACCCGACCCGCACATCTGCCCCTGCACACAACGGGGCCGTGTTCCCGCTGGGAGGAACCCTGGTCTTGCAGCCAGCAGTTGGGTGGGACTGGAGGGCGGGCAGGCCTGACAGATGGTGCCATGCTTTAGAAAATCTTCCATGTGCCAGGCACCTTAGGGGCTGGGGTACAGCAGCGACCAGCCAGGTAGAACCACCCCCCTCGAGGTGCTGACATTAGGGTGAGGAGACGGATTAACAGACAGATAAGGAAAACGTTGTTAGTGGGTGCTGAGTACATGGAGACTTAAGTAGGGTGGCATCGGGAAGGTGACAAGGTGAGCAGACACCCAAAAGGGGTGGGGGGGGGCAGGGGCTCTTTCTGGGGGTCCAGGGTCCAGCAATGAGAAGGTGCTCAGTAAAGTAAGTGGGAGGTGGGGATGCCTGACCTTAACCTTGGGCCCCGCTAAGCCATGCTCTCCTCCCTGCTCCAGGAAGAACAGCCCTCCCCCTCTCCCCACCCTGCTGGGCCCCAGCCAGACCCAAGCCAGCCTGCTCCTTCAGGATGGGTCTCTGCTCTGCTCCTAGCTGCTGGCCTGGAGGAGAAAGGGGGAGGCCTGCAGGAGGGCGAGGGGTCCCCCTGCAGCCCTTCCTGGGGCCCACCCGGGACGTGGGGTGAAGAAAGCACTTGGTCCGGCCGTGGTTACATCGCTGGTCCTCAGCCTCCTCTGGGCGGCCTGCTCTGCAGGGTGGCTTTAGGCTCCACGCTGCCTGGAGCCTTCTGGACCAGGTGGCAGTTGTGAGAAGAGCCAGCTCAAATGTCAGGGCAGCTGGGGGATGGGGTTACACACCCCGGAGACAGGACACGCCTGGCTTATGAGCTGGCAGCTGCTTGCTGCTGGGGGAGGCATGGCCCCCACCCCCTTACCTGGCACTGCCTCAGTGGCCCTCTCTTCCCAGCTCTGCACCTGCACCTGTGGGTAGGGTGGGTGGGGGGGCGTGGACAGAATCTTTAAAGACACAGAACATAGAATCAGCCAAACCTGCCTTTGCTCTTATTGTGCAGACAAAACCCCTAACCCCAGTGCCTCAGTTTCCCCACCAGGAAAACGGGCTCATGACCACTTTCTAGGGTTGTTGCTGGGAGGCATGTTGTCTGTGCTCCGCACAGGGTAAGCCAGTGCCTGTCATTGCCCCTGTCTTAGACATACTCTGCCCGGGTGGGGTGCCCTCCCCACAGCTGCTCAGTGGCTCTTGGTGAAGGCGCCGAGGGCTCGGGCAGCTGTACTGGCAGAGTCTGGCAAATAGCACCGGTAGCCAAGGGCACCTTCCGTGAGTGGCTTATCGAGGCTTTGACAGAGAAGTCAGAGCTGCGTGTGCTCCTCTCAGTCCTGGTACCCCCAGGCAGGGGCTCCCCCAGCCCGTCCTTGATGCCGGAGCATGTATGGTCGCAGCCCCAGCACTGCCCGCACCCTGTGAGTCAGGCCACAATGGGCACAGTGTGTGAAAGGAGGGCGGCCTGCCTTGCTGGGCGGCTCCAGAAACTGCCTGCCCAGCCCAGCTCCCTCAGCTCTGGGCCTGTGTGTCTGATCTGAATGGCCACCTGCGCTCCCAGGGGCTGCTTTCCTTACAGAGGAAATCTCTGAGCAGGCTCCAAGTCGGTCACAATGCACCAGAAATGGGCGAGCTGGGCAGCGACTATTGCTCAGATGCCAGCAGCGGGGAGCACAGTGGCTGCAGCCATAAAAAGGAAGCGCTGGCCCTGTCTCTCGGCCCCCTCTGCCCTGTCCCCTCTCGATGCTTCCTGTTGACAGGCGGGGATGCTCAGGGCCGGCTGCAGGGTGGGTGAGCTGCTTCTTGGCTGCTGGCGGGGGGTGGGGGGGGCAGTGTAGCCCTGTAGGGAATTGTGGGAGGCGGGAGAAGATCTGGCCTGGAGAGGTGTCTGCATTCGTCAGGCCCCCGTCCCGTCACTCACAGGCCGCCCCTCTCAGTCCACAAACGCTGATGTCCCCAGCTCAGTGCTGGGTGGGGGGACAGAGGCTTATAAGACCTGCCGCCAGGTGGAGAAATAAAACATCCACAAGTAAACCCAGGGCTGCTGGTAGTTCCTGGGTGAGGTGGGAGGGGAGACAGTAGGTGCCCTGAGCCTTTGGTGAGGGAGCAGTCACCTCCAGGAAGCCTTCTCGGAAGAGGAGGCATTGACACAAGGGGGATGAGGCCAGACTCTGGCCGGTGGAGGGAGAGGACCTTTGTCAAGGATGAGATTGCTGCTTGCTCAGGGCCCAGGTGGTAGCAGTGAACCCCCCTCCTGTTCCTGCCCCACCTGGGAGAGACACAGCCTGCTTGGCAGGTAACGGAGCTGGGTTTATCCTGGCTTTCCACGCAGTGGCTGTATGGGCCTTGCCAGCTACAGCCTTTTTCTGGGTCCTGCCATGGCGAGATGGGGCTGGCAGATGTCTGTCCACGGTGTGTGGTGAGGGCTCTGTTCGAGGCCGCTTCTCCCAAAGGAGGGACAGGACCCTGCCTGGGCCTCGCCTCGGGAAAGCTAAGCGCAGGTGGTCTCTGCAGCCAGCAGCCGCTTTCCTCACCGCCCAGACCCCTGGAAGCTCTGGGGGCTTTAGTGGCCTTGGGTGTCAGCTGTGATTTGAGCTGCGCATGTCAAGCTTCAGAGTTTGGTTTGGTTAGGTTGAGAGATGTCTGGTTGTCCGTCTCCACATGTGCCTTTCACCGCGGGAAGGGTTGCCCTGTCTGTCTGGGTGTTGCCGTTTCTGAACTCTGACTCCTGTGTCCCTTCCAGGCCATCAGCATCAGTAAGGCCATCAACACCCAGGAGGCCCCTGTGAAGGAGAAGCATGCCCGGCGTATCCTTCCTGCTCTGGGCCCCAGGGGGTGGTGGGAGGAGGTGGGAGGATGTGGGCCTGCCCAGTGTGGCCTCTGACCATGGGCACAGTGGGAGTGGTTTAGTGCCACTGGGGCTTTGTGAGGTCCACCCACAGAGACAGGCGCATGTCCTCTTGTGTCCTGGCCCGGCAGAGTCTCCTGCCTCGAGCAGCTCCTGTCAGACTCTGAGCCTCATCTCAGGAGCACCATCTATTGTCTTAGACCAGTGAGCCCTGTTAATTTTGAGGGGCATGAACTTGCCCTTTCTCTTTTTTTTCTTTATTGATTACATATGTATCCTTGTCCCACCATTCCCCCATTCCTCTCTCCCCCCCGACCCCCTGCTCATGCCCTCACCCCCCTGGTGTCTGTGTCCATTGGTTAGGCCTATATGCATGCATACAAGTCCTTTGGTTGATCTCTCCCCCTTACCCCCGCCTCCTCTACCTTCCCTCTGAGATTTGAGCATTGATCGATGCTTCTGTCTCTGGATCGGTTTTTGTTCATCAGTTTATGTTGTTCATTACATTCCACAAATGAGTAAGATCATGTGATATTTACCTTTCTCTGACTGACTTATTTCGCTTAGCATAAGGCTCTCCAGGTCCATCCATGCTATTGCAAATGGTAGGCGTTCCTTCCTTTTTACCGCAGCGTAGTA